ACCCCATCCCCTGTCCTGTCCCGTCCCGTCTCATCCCAACCTGTCCTATCCCATCCTTCACAGTCTCAGCACAAAACAAGGGATTTCTTTGCATGTGCTGTACAGTTCAGAGTTAGATTAAAGTTTTTTTATGTGTCACATTGCCAATTGGTCTTCATCATCCAGGGACCTGCTGAAAATACTGAATAATAAAAGACTAATCTGCGTGCCACCTTTCAGTACATCCTTCTCTTCTGACAGTTAATCAATGCCTCTTAATATGCTCTTCAATTTGACACAGTTTTGAACCTTTTTAAGGGCACTTTCTTTTCAGGGATTTGCCAATAAATATACCAYCTCATAATTCATCTAGGTTGTATTTCCATAACTTCACAGATTATATAAAAATTCTTACTGAAATAAAGCAAAGAGGTGGTGTCTTGGATAAGGAGCTCACTGCAGAGGCTGTCTTAACACTTGTGCATTTTACAGGATTAAATATACTTGATTCACTATAACTTCCTGGTAAAAAAAAAAAAAAAGAGAGGATACAACTATGATCATGCAATAATACACTTCACTTACCAGTTCCTCAAATTCTTCTACTCAGGCCATAGGAATGATGATTGCAAATTAGAATAGGAAGGAAGTTATCTGTACTATTCAGCTGGATTTGCATGGGGGAGTATTAAGGAACCCAGTCTAGGCATTGGTGTGTTAAGAACATTGTGGCAGTACTCCCTACATGGAAATTAAATCCATCCAAGGGTTTTTTTAGTTCCTCCTATATTTATATCACAACTCAGCTTCACTGAAGATAATTGTTAATATGAGCCATAATAAACCATATCCAGGATGTTCTCAGTCACTAAGCAATCAATTCAAATTCTATTTTCAAACTCAGCGTGGATTTTCAGGATGGATTTGTCTCATCCAGCTGGGGCTACCTAAAAGACCTGTGGTACTGGTTTAACAGTTGTCTGCAGATGGGAGAGAGAAAGGGAGACATGAGAGGAGTGATTCATTTGGTGGCTGTAGATRTCCAGAAGAGGAGGTGAATCACTCTCTAGATGCCCTTATTGACTCTCCACTGACTCAAGGAGGAACTTTGACAGCTGAATTGGCCATACAACTCTCTCTTGGGTTGAACCTCATGGACCTTGCATAGATGCTCCATTTAAGGGTGTGAGATTTGTGTGCCTCATGTCAGCTCTGTCTCACTTTTATGGGAAATAAAAACTGATTTAAACCAGTTTGACCTTTATAAATAATYAGGTTGCATGAAAATTTTCTGGTGCTAGATTCTAGGATGTGGTATAACTAGGGCTTCCCCAAACCTCTGCTCTGCAAGAGGGCTGGATGCTGCTGTGGAGGCTGGGAAGGGCCCTTGTGGATGCATAATGTGAATTCTCAACCACTTTTACCATAATTTCAAGGATGCATGATCAATATGTAATTGACAGGGTTTAGCTAGCTGTTAAAACCACCCTCACCCCTTCCCTAGGAAGGTCAATATGAAATATTATTCCCTTGAATAGAAGGCCTGTGTAAGAGTGATTCACAGAAAAAAAAAAGTTGAATAAAACAAAAAACTTGCTTCAGTGAGTTATATGGTTGTTTACAGCTGCATTGAACTGGGAAGGCCTGCAGTGAAATCAGAGTGTTGTTGTGTCTTCAAGCTGGCTGAGTTTAAGGAAGGGATAGTCCTCCAAACCAAATGATTTTTTGCAGGGTTTTAAAAGCATTTGCAGGGTTTTCAAAATGCCCTTGTTAAACCTAGACCTGAAAAGGCTGTAGCTGTGTTTGTGGTTTACTCCCTGGCAACTCCATTTTTGCATTTGCCGTGGTCTTGCGACATTGAATATGAAAATCTTTAAAATCTTGTCTGTGCTGCCTGAGCTACRTGACAGGCTCTTTCCTCCCAGCTTTCTGCTGAAACAGAGGACTTGCCTAAGCAGCAAAACTTTGCTGATGAATGGAGAAAAGTCAAGAAGCAACGGAGACCCCAGCACGTTTTCCTCCTACACCTTCCTTGATTCTCCAGATGCCTTTTTTTTTCTAATTTCCTTCCACCACTTCCCAAATATCCACTGAGTTTTCACAGCACTTCCCTTTCTTTTTTGCCACGCCTAATTCTGTTGTTAACATCTCATGTTAATCATCAAAATTATAATGCTGGTTATGTTTATTTCTCATAAAAACTTGCTTTTCTCATAAAAACCTGTTTTTATCTGTGCATGGATGCCTTTCCCCCTTGCTGGGTCTCTGTTCTCACTCCCCCCTGCTGTATCTCGCTCTGCTTTGGGTCAGATCCTCGCAGAATCAGMGCTGTTCTTTTCCTAGAATCATTCAGCAAACTGGCCTGTTTCCAAAGCTGATCTGGCTAATTCCTCTCACAAACCATAACCGTTTTTTCTGACCTTTAAGAGGTGTAAATGTTCAGTTACAGGTCTTTCTCACACAACCTGTGTTTGTAGCAATGAGCCACTCAAAGTCACCATTCCTCCCAGGATAACTGACTGTACTTTCCATGTTCATTCTTGGATGAAATCTCACCCTTTTAAATAAAATCCCACCTGTGCTGAGGTTTGCTACCTGAAAGCAAATGCTGCATGAAAGATTGAGCTGGAGGACTGCAGGAAACGTACCTCATCTCTGTCTACATCATGAAATTGCTATTAAATTGTTTGATCAAGCAAGAAATAGAAGCAGATGTTGGCAGGTAAATCCCTTCACCTCAAAAGAACAGACCCCATGTTTAGTAATGAAAGGATAAAAAGTTTGGGATTTCTTTCTGGGAAATGTAACACATAATTTTTAGCAGCCCAGGTAGCTGCAGGGTTCAGGCAGTTACATATCTCCAGGCATCTTGGAAAAAAGATGAGGGATTAAAGTCTGAGGCTTTCAGACAGATTTTTTCAGGAGCAAAACTCTCTAAGTYCTTCAGAGGGCTTTGGCATGAGGTTTTCCTATTACACTGCTAAATATGGAAGATAATTTGATACTAGGGYAAGGGCAGTAAATACCTGTGGAGCRTGAAGCAGCCCCAGGGTGAGCTGAGCATTTTCCCCATAGCAGTTGCTTCAGAAGTCTTACTTGTTCTCCATGCCCTGTTGCATTTGGATTTGGGAAGTAATCTCCTGGGCAAAGCCTCGCAGCTGGCAAACCCTGCAGGAGGATTTGTCCCCTGCATCACAAAGCTGCAGAAAATCTTTCATGAAAAGAGCAAAGGGAGCTTTATCAGGAGAAAGGTAGCAGACTGATGGATGCAGCATAGCGGTATTTGAAAATGTATCACATCTGTTCCTTAGCTTGCCTGTTAAGAAGATTTAATTTGTTGAGGATTTATAAAGCAGAAATAAATGCCCAGTATGTAATAGTCATGATAGAATACCACAGATAGTTTAAATCTTGGGTTTTTTTTTCATAGTCTAGCCCAATTAATTTTCTAATTACTAACAGGAAATAATTTCTGTGGGAAGGGCTGAAGAAAACCTACATGAAGTCTGATACTTCSTTGATAATTTCCAGTTTTTCCACTGGATTTTGGAAAAAATTCACTCAAGTGTGTCACTCCCAGACAACTGAGGAACAAGRAAAACACTTTCCAAACCTGCCAGCCTCACCCTCATGTTTTTGGTTTGCTTTTTTTTTTTAATCAAACTGTCCTTCCTTCAGAAGCTCGGCTGTGATTCAGAGAAACTACAAACATGCATCAAAACCAAATGCAAGGTGGCTTTATCATCACTAACAGAAGATGTCTGGAAGGCCAAAAAGATAACCCATGGAACCTTTTTTTTGCAGGTAGAGCTCACAGATGGTGCCTGAGATCCCTTATCACACACCAGAAATCTATTCCAATGCTGTGGTCCCTCTCTTATACCTATCCAGCCACAGATTCGGGACTGAGTACCTACACAAACCTATTAAAATCTTTCCCTTTCTAGTGACCTCATCTGTAGTGAAATGTGAAAGAGCTCTGGAGCCAATGGCTCTGATGTGTCAAACCACTTCCTACATGTGATGGCACGCTCCCCCACACCGAGCATCGGGTTTGGTTTCCTGGATAAAAGACTAATACCTGAACAGAAAGCAGCCTTTGTTCTTTCCTGTGGAGCCAGCCAAACGATGATTTGCTGACCAAAGTCGTCACTGCACACATGAGTAAAGCTCCCAGGCAGTCTCATCAGGCAGTAACCTTGGCTTGGTTGGCAACAGCTCATCGCTTCTGAGAAACTTCACCATCCTCAGAGGTGTGGAGAAAAGATGTGGACAAGTTCCATGGAGCTCAAGTGGCTTTTGATGTGGCTCTTGTATGGATTCATCAAGGGGAACAAGCCAGGTAAAAAACTGTTTTTGCCTTTTGGGGAGGGAAAATATGATTTGGATTTTTTTGGTGGCTGTTAGAGGGTGTTCACAACATCCTGACTTCTTTCAGCAAAGGAAAGATGTTAAGGAGCTTAAAGAAATTATTCTAAGGAAATGAGAGACATGGGTTTTGTGCCCACAAACTGTCAACTGCAGAAAATCCAGAGCTTTACAGGATATTTTTTGTCTGACTAATATATGTATCSTCCAACCCATCGTTGGAATAGTGGGCAGATCAAAGCAGCCTGAGGCAGCCCTTTGAATKTGCTTTTTCCATTTTACTTGTAATTGTAGGAAATATAAAAATAGACACCAAAATGCCAGTAACCCTGTAGGTAAAATTGATGGCAATGCTGTTAGTTAAAAGGTACCGACCAAATTTGCTGTGGGTACCATAGACATGAAATATTTTTTCAGCCATGCCTCTCARTCAGTAGTGCATATAAACCATGAATGGAGGCAGCTAATCCAATTCAGCATAATTTTACACATTTATAAATGGTGCCACTGCTTATATTTGGCTTATTTATTGTGACAAGTGTGTGCATTGAGAAATGGTCTGGTGATGCATTAGTGCATTTAAATTTAAACTGCTTTGTTCAAAGAGGGGAGAAAAAGAATCATCCATTCTCAATGCTCCATAAATGTGATATTTCCTTCTGTGTCTGATGATGATGTCCAGGTTGAGAGGTATGAGCTGACACARCCTAAGGCAGGTTCTCAGACACGCTGGTGCTGTAACTGCTGATGGATCATCTTCAGCAGGGCTGGGAATTTTCAYCAGGGCTGGCCATCTCAAGGGAAGAGTGTGTTGCTGGTAACTAAACTTATTAATGCAGGAAGCACCTTCACAAATGTTGAAGCCCCAGATGATTTTATTCTTGTTATTTTACCAGTAAATGCTGCACCTTCTCCTTCATGGGGTGTTTTCACTGCCAGATGAGGTGCCAGAGCCCACGGGAAGCRTTTCGGTGCTGCGTGCAGGAGCAGCACTGCGAGGTGCTCAGCCAGAGATGTGTCAGTGGGATCAGTTCTGGGATGAGTCAGGTCCCCCAGATCACACTTTCTGTATTACTGTACCTGGAACATGTTGTGAAATTTCTTGCTGGCAGGTCTCGTTTATCAGAAACCTTTCTGGTTTTTTGGAAAAAAATCGAGGGGTGTCAGAGCAGTTGCATTTTATGCTATTTGATGTGATTTTATTCACCACGGAATGAATAAATGCATAGCATTGCATTCTTCGCTGTATCACTAAGCTCTTCTTCCCTCAGCTTCCTGTATTTATTTTCAATGTCTCTCTCAAAGTTTAAACATTCTATTTATAYATATTTGTAATTTCTCCCTGCAGGTAATATGCTAATGTATAAACACCAGCTTTTACCATTTTAGAGGTTTTTAACCAGAGGTGGTGTGTCTGTGAGACCTGTTGATTTTAATTCCTTAAGGGAGGATCAATAAAGAGTCCTGGGGACAGACACAAGCAAAGCAAAAGGAAAGAGACTGGATTTAACTGGTCAAAAATCAACCAGGCCTCAACACATAAAGTACTTTTCTTATTATTTTGCCTCAGTTTTATCATCTTGTCCCAGACTGCAAGTTCAGGTTTGTAAATAGAYCCTACCCTAGATATTGTTTGGCAAAATGCACTATCAGGAATAAATRCAATTAGAGGAAAAAGAAAATAAAAAGCCTTTGTTTTACAGAACAGTTTCACTGATAGTTCTCAAAATACTTTGAGGGGGCAAAGTTCTCTGCTATGCAACTGGGGAAAATAAGGRGTGGAATGATAATTTATTAATTTAATAAAAATTAAAGCACTAGCATCTTAGTGCTAAGAAGAAAAATGCTGTTTTTTCTAATGAAGAGTATCACATTTATCTCCTTTTCTCTGCACAGTAGCAGTGCCTAGAAGCTGCAGGCATGGGTGAATCTTGAAGTGAGGGTCAAACACAAGGTAAAAGCTGGTCTGTGCTCCTACAGCCTTTCCATCTTGCTATTCATCAGACAGGCATACTCTGAATAGAKTTGCAAGTTAAACCTGGAAAGGATTAAAACTCACAAAAGAAAGAATTTCATTCAAGTGAATTTCATTCACACAAGATGGGTACCAGATCTCAGTCATTTAAATGAGAGGAATTTCTTTCCCATTATACTTGCATATTAGTGCTGGCTCCCATGGATTTGAAATGCAATTCAGAATACATTAAAGTTGTCAAACACAGACAAGTGATTCTTGTAAGGTCAACTAGAGAGCAAATACCTTTATAAACCTTACAGCTACAGTGACTGTCAGCAACAAAGGGCTCAATGTACAGCTRAAATTTWAAAAAARWRTTTAAAAARTATGATCCTACTGAGGAAAAGMAGATATTACAGACAGAGATCTTGCAGTACCTGTTTCTTCAGCTGGAGGAATTGTTTTCCCATCTCATCAGAGATGAGATGTTATGTCCTTTTTCCTTTTACTGCAGAAAAAAATCCACTCTTTATCCACTTTACATCTAGAAAGCCACTGCTTCTGGCTTTGCTCCCTGTTGCCTTCAGAGTGTTGAAGTTTTGGTCTCCCTACATCCTCGAMGTTCAGCTTTGTCTCTCCTGTTTCCCCTGCTGCATTAATGCTCTCTTCAAAGCCCAGCTTCCCGGTATTTTCTGCCCACAGATTCCATTCCCTGGCCTTGGTCCTGAATCCTGGAACAACGTGACTCACTGAGTCTTTGCTCCACCTCCTCCAATGCTTTCCCAAAACTCACATTTACAAAGTCCTTCCGTGACTTTCCTCCCTTTCCTCCTTGTTCCTCAGCCCTGCCAGGGGAGCAGCATTCTCTCATYTGCTGCTTTTTCTTTATGTTCTTGATTTGTAAAGTGAGAGCCCTCACAGAAAGAATATATAACCCTCTCAATGTGGAAAAATATTTCATGCATGACAAGGTCAGAAAAATCACCACCATGTGCAGAAAATTTCCATCKCACACTTGAGATCTCCAGGGAACAGCTCCATGACCATGCTAAGTCCTTAAGTGAGGTGAGTCCTTAGGCCACACTTGAAAACAAATTTTTTTTCTGAAAATTTCTTTTTTCACTTTCCCAAGATTGGGACATACACTTGGCAGACCTTTCAATTATTCTCAGAGAGGATGTTCTTTACTGYCTTACAAAAGGCAAGACAGAGAAAGTTCCAGACAAAGGAAAGAACCTGTATCTCTGCTGCTATTTAAAAAAAACAATTTTTGTTCTCAGTATTTAATTTTCCTATTAGATGAAAATACCAGACATAGGCATTACTGAGGTTGCCTGTTTAAGCAAAAATAGAACAAAAAACAAGAACAAGGCTTTCACTTGCGATATTCTMAAAACTTGGCTCAGTGTTCTGCTACAAAACCATGTGCCGTGGTTGCATTTAGAGAGTCTGAGTGAGCTCTGTGGCTTTACCACGGAACCAAGGGTGTTATAAACACCAGAAACAAAAACAAATGTTCCCATTCTTTACTTAGTGCTTTTTCTACACAGTGCACTGTGCTTGGGCTAGTTTTCCTCACTCTTCTCTTTCCTAATGTWCCATCTTCCAATTCTATGTTCCAATTCCAATTCCAAGTCCCCAGCTCAGCATCCCTGCTAGTGCAGGTGTAGGATCCATCAATATATCAGGTAAACTACTCTGATTATCAATGTGAGCACGTAAGAACATTCTCCTACCACTGCAGCTGATAAAAATAAAGAAGCACCTTCAAGCTTTGCTTTGGAGAAGCTAAGTTAGGTGTCTGCTGTGTTCCAGAGAGGTTTGCCCAGCTTCACTTTTCACTGAAGGAGCTAAAAAGGCACAKTCTTGAGGCTAAATTATGCTTAGCATGAGAAAGCTTAGTCCACTGTCCAACCAACTCTAGCCTTGCTGTATATGGAAATTTTTTGCATTAGATTCCACTGCCTAGGTCAATGGCAAACATCTGGTCAACACGATTAAACCAAGAGATAAGAGAACTGCATTTCTCTCAAATCAAATTTTCTATGGTCCCAAAAGCTCTTGACAGTTCACACTCCAGTTTAYTTTACACTGTCTTTCCAACAGAGACATCTTCTGGTACAGCAAACACAGCAGACACTGAAATGCCTAGATCAGGACATTCCTTAGAACAGGACATTACTCCTCTCCAGTGCTGGGAATATTCAAACCCATCTCTGCTCCATGAGGCTGATCTCTCCTCCGTTGCTGTTTATATTAAAACTTGTGCCTGGCCATTTCATCAACACTGTATTTCAGTCACTTACACTGCAGACTCACTACTACTTAAATTATTTTCTAAAATAATCTTTCTATAATCTAAAATACAGGTAATTATAATCTCACAGGCAAATTACAATAAAGTTGAAGTCTGAATCCCAACCCCACATCTATGATCTATTCCCATCTCATAAATCCACATAAACAATTAATGACATTAATGGGAGGGGAAAGAGTCCTGCAGGGCTAAGGCTTGCTTGTTAAAGGACCCTCTGGGAATAAGTTTTGAGGTTAGAAAAAGTTCATTACCATTTCCATCCAGTTGTCGGTATCAATTCCTCCACTTTGCCTGAATCAGTTTCATCTTCATGAGACTGCACCATTTAGAGAACACGATTTCACACAGCACATAAATCCCCAGGGCTGATTTAGCTTCTCAGGCACAGCTGGGGAAATATCTTCATTTTGGCCTGGTTTGATTTGTTGGTGTCTCTGGGGAGAGGTGTTCTTCATCTCTGAACTGGGCAGGCTTCATCTTCATCTCTGAACTCTGGCTTCTTCTACTGCTTCTGCCAAATATTCAGAACATCCAGTTTGCTACCAATCCCATCTTACTGCCTTTGTAGAAGAGGAAAATCGTCCTCTTTTTGCACCTTGCTGTTTTAACTCGACATCAGAATCGTGTCAGCACTGGTGACACACAGCCACGTGACAGAGGAAGTTGTGAGTTTAGGTTATTGTGGCGTGACTCACTGTCTGTGTTTTACCTAACACTAAAAATACCTGTTACAAATTTCCCCCRCTCACTTCTTGTGGACTGAAGGTGTTGTTCTGATGCCTCATCTAACACTGCTCTGCCAGCTCAGACATGGAGGAGAAACAGGCAGGAGGGTTTCATGAAGCCTGGTACTGCCAGCACACTCAGAGCAGTTTTGTGGTTGGGTCAGTCACACATTTGAATGAGAAACGTGAGGGAAGAAACCTGAAAGAAGTGATACTGATTTAACTACTGATTTTTTTTCCCTCCAATATCTCCTGTGGGATATCTGACAGCACATGTGAAAGTCCCAGGTACCCTGAGACATCTCAAATGGCATCAGACACCCTAGCTCACACCTTTCTGTTGGCTCAGATGACAAGGCTTGCAGGTCTCAAAATGCTTATCAAACTTAATTTTGGGAGCACTCCAGCAGAAGCATTATCTGCTTTTCCATTTTTATGTTTCATGGCTGTCTGTTGTCTGAATTCACTAGTCTTCTAATTCCAAGGGTTYGTCTCCATCCACTCCATCACAATAATTGAAACCAGCTCCAGAATTTCCAAGAATGTAGGCGCCAAAAATCCATGAATATGGAGAGAAACAGAAATTCCCATCTGCCTTAAGAGAGCTAAGTGTTCTCATAATTCTTCAGCTGACAGAAGGGCTAAATGCCCATGAACAAAATTACACCAAGCTCTCAGTTTGGTCCATTTAGTACCTCTAAGTGAAGAGAAATGGACTCCCAGGACAGTTTGGGAGTGTGGGAAGTGAGAATGGTAGGTAAGGGCTGATKAATTTTGTGAATGAAGGAAAGAGAACAGTGGACAACAGGACAGAGAGATAAGGAAATAGTGGCACACAACACCTTGTCATGGGATGAAAAATTGGAATATGTGCAGAGGAGAAATTAGGAGGCAAAGAAAACCTCAAGAGATCTGAATGCAATGTGAGGACAGTATTTCAAACCAATAATAGCAGGAGTACAACCCTGGAGCAGCTGTGGAGGGGTGCAGAATCCAGGGAAAGCTAGGTTTTGCTAAACTGCACCACCACAGGCTGTGAGGCAGGTAGGTCATGCTGGCCTTTGAAAAGATTGTTCTCTTCAAACTACACCAACCCAGACAAATTGATTGACTAGTTCCTAACCAGGTGCAAAACAGAAAAAAAAAAAACCAAACAAACAAACAAAAAACAAACAAACAAAAAAAAGGCAACTATAATCTCCTCTAAAATGTAGAAAGTCAGAAATCTAAAGAAGGAGTAAACCTACCCTGTCAATACCTATTCCCTGGATTCTTTCCATCCTTTGGCTCTTTTACCATTCACGCAGCAAGAATGTTGATTTATTTAGGGGCAAACCATGCAGTTTCCTTGTACACAAAGATGGAAGTTTTAAGCACAATTCACTCCAGAGGTCAATATGGTCTAAACCTCACCAGGTCTGAGTTCTCTCTTGCACAGCCTTCCAACACTATGCCAGGAAGTCCCATGACATGAAACACAAGACAYGGAGGTGCTGGAACATGGCAATGGAGCTGGGGAACAGTTTGGGGCTCAATTCTGATGGGGACAGGATGTGGGAGCTGKGGRGGCTCAWCCTGGAGCAAAGGAGGCTCAGGAAGAACCATCTCACTCCCTACAACTCACTGGCAGGAGGGTGTATGGTTTGCATGTTTAGTGCCTACCTGTTCTGGAAAGAKGAGTAAAAACCACATAAAGAGAAGAACCTCTCAAAATATAAGATATTTTGAGACAATTAAGAGCAATAATGGCAATGGGTATCTTGCAATATCCTTGTTCATGCATGGCTCCTCCCAGTGTGAGGACTGGCACAACAATAAACCCCAAATCCAATGACTTTGATACCAAGCACATTGGTGAGGAGCTCTAATATGGGAAGAGGAGACAATGTTTTGAAAGGTTATTGTGGTTGCTAAGGACAAAGTTCTTGAAAATGGGAGCAAAATATTTGATGTGACAATGAAGCAGTTAAATATCAAAGGGAGGCAGGCAAGAAGGTCACATTGAAACCTAGAAAATTTATCTTTCAAAATTATTTCTGTATTAAGGAAAGAAATATGATTGAATAAGGGCCAAGAAGATACTGCATTTATAGAGATGTGAGAAGACAAGAATTTGAGTGATGAGGATGAAATTAAAAGGCTGAATCTGAGGAAGGTTGAGTATGATCCAGCTGCAATGTGGATGTTCACTGAATCCCAAGTGCACCATTTCTGCACAATCCCTGTCTGATGTGTGCAAGTTCAGAAAAACCCAATGTTTGATCATCAATTAAAAGAATGTTTGCCCTTTATGATGAGTAGGTTAAACGTTGTGGGYTTTCTTAAGAAGAGACTAATGAGTTGTAGGTCTGAGTGCCTTGTGTTGAGATTCAGATCTGCAATCTGCTTCAAAGAGGCTTTTGAAGTCTTGAGGGAAACAAGCTTTTAGCTTTCAGGGAAAGTGAGAGTACAAGATCTCAACTTGCTGCTGATCTGATAAACTCTTTAATTTTAATCACCCTGACAGTCTGTGGTAAAACATGTGGTTAACTATTTCGGGTGCAGTCGCTTCTCTCAAAGCCACAGTCTGATGTAGTTTACAAGGCGAATCCTTTGATAACACAGAGRCACGAGGGGATTAAAACAACCCTTATGCAGATTAGCTGTTAAACCACTCACACACTTTTCATTGCTGTCTTCTTCAAACTTTGTGACTTTTACCAAGCAGCAAGACAATGTAAAGTAAAAAGGGCAGAAAATATCAAAGTGAGGAAATGAAAGAAAAGAGCATTGCAGGGCTGGAGCTGGAGTCCCTGATAGCTGTTGGTCTTTCAAGAAGGCTCTTTGGGAGTCAAGGTCAGACACCAAATGATGAACAGCTATCAGGGACTCAGGGGCCTTTTTCARTCATTCCTGCTGGTTGCTAAGGCTGCATTAATTATGGCTGCAGAAAATGTGAGGMTATGATGACAAAGAAATTTCACTCCTAATAGCTGTTACTGTTATGCATAAGCATAAAGGGCCACAGATCGTGAACCCAAAGATCCAGAGTGCCAGCCCTGGTGCAATCAAACTATTTGATCTTTGAATTTCTCAGCCTTTAGGCCTTAAATAATTATTAAGTAGTGTCTTTATCAACCTCTGGGTCTCCAGCTCAGCTTGAGCAGGCTTTTCAAGTGCACTGAAATGATCTAACTTAATTCATTCCAGCTGATTGAGTAGTATATTTAAATATGATTTGCTGATGACACAACATTTCACGCCCTTGTTTTGGGACAAGTTATATTTAGGTTTGCAAACTTATTTCACAGTAAGCTGCTCTTTGGTGCCCTCAGAACTGAGAGTCTACACCCATTCCCARCTTTTGCTTATAGATGATTGCAACTTTTAATTGCTTAATTTTGCTTATTGTGCCACCCTCCATAGATCCAGGGCTGCACACACTGGTGCAGATAGCTGCTCTCCAATATGATTGTGTGCAGTTTCACTAAGAAAATGTTGATAGTGTTTCATGTTGCCCATCTGCTGGACATGTGTGGTATTGAGAATGGGGAAGTCCCTGATGCMTAAAGTAGAATGCTGACTGTCCTGATTCTCAAGCTTTCTCTTTGCAGAAAAATGCCCACGTCTTCCAGTGACTGAATTTGCTGATGTTACTGCTGAAAAGTATCCACTACAGACCAAATTGTACTATGTGTGTGACCCTGGCTATTACAGAGAAGGTGGTGCATTGCCAGCAATCAAGTGTGAGAGTGAACAGCAGGGTGCCTTTTGGAAATATGGAGCATTTAAATGCCTTGGTGAGTGAATGTTGCCTTTTTTTCCTATACATAGAGGTATTTTTCCAACGTGTTACTTGGTATAAAACACATCTGGGCATTAACAAAAGATCTTAATATTGGATCCTGAAATAGTTCTATCCCACCTCTAAAAGTTTGGGTGCTCTGGCTTTGTTCTGGTATTTGTCCTGCTGTAACTCAGCAAGTGTAACTTCTTGACAGATAAGAAAAATTGGTTATCAACAGCTCCCACAATGGAGGTAGAACTTACACAGAAGCCAGAAAGAGAACCAAGGAGTCCTGCACCCCAGAAGAGACAAGATCTTTCAGAGTTCAAACAAAAAGGTAAATATGAGCCCATCCTATACTGTATCACTTCTCCTRCTGATTTCCATGGAGGCAGTGCAAGAATGGTGAGTAATATTTAATTATTTTGCAGGCAGAGGGAAGGAAACGAGTGCTGAAATATTTTGACTGAACAAGTGATATGGTGTAAACAAATGAGTATTTTATATCCTAATAAAGAATTAGAAAGGCTTGTCTGTATTTTCTAAGAACACAAGATTTTCAACAAAAAAAGCAGTATGCAAAATCTGTCTGCTTTTACCAAATTTTGTGTGCTGCCTTGTGCTCCCGCAGATTTCTGTGATCCTCCCAGGCCTATTCCACATGCCTCCATGARGCTGCCCCAAGACCATTACGTGGGACAAGTCTTGTATTTCAAATGCCAGAGTGGTTATGATAAGAGACCCCCCACTTCTGGCAGCAGGACATGCAAGAAGGTGGATGGCAAAATCATCTGGACCCCTCTGGACATGAGATGCACCAATGACAGCAAMCAGTGGCCACCACAGACTGTTGGGCCAGGTAAGGTGGTTGTGATTACACCACAACAGTGTCAGACCTGCTCATGTCAGGTCCAGACCCCACAACTGTCGTGGGGACAGCAGGAGCTTCAAAAAAGTTTACTAAAGAAGGCCTGCTACTCACTCTGAGGGGAAGAAAGAACTCCCTCGTGTATTTAAACACCTTCACAGGAAGGGGTTTAAATGAAGGCAARTCCTTCCTTAGCCTCAGATTTTGACAATGGTTTAAATTTAAGGAATCAYTCTGRCCTGCAAGTTCTRTTGATRGCAAATCAGATGCTCTGGTGCTCTTCATCAGAAGAGAAAATTGATACAAAAATCAATGATTTCTCTCTCTTCATAGGTTTGGCCCCTCCATCCCCTTCCTCATCAGGAAAGCTGCCAGTGACAGGTATGCAGTTTTATKAAAGATTTCACTCCATTAGCCAGAGCACTTCCTTGGTCTTTCAGTTTGTTGTTCTATTACAAAGAGATCCAATTCTGTTAGAAGAGCTATTAAATATGCTGCAAGACACAACTATATCCATGTATTGGGTTAGAAGTTAGTAAAGAACAGATTRTTTAAGCACTTAAACTTTTATAAAGAAGTTTTCAAAGACTCATAAGGAATGTAAAAGAAAGCAGATAAACCARAAGTCTGTTTTTTAAAATGAAGCCATTTTCAGATTCTTCACTGAGACTTTCTGTGATTTTAGTGAGTCACTTCATCAGGAAAAAAGCAGTAAAAAAAYGTAAATATTTATATTATGCATTTCTTTCTCATTTTCAAAGGAATAAAAAAGGTGGGCAAATAAAACATTTCCTCACAGCTATACTGTTGCATTTAGATCAGTCTGAAGASATTTTCTTCTCCTGCTTCCCCATCTTCCAGCCAGCCATCAGCTGATGAAATAGAACTCATCTCTTGCTGTGTGTATGCTCAGGACTTTGCACAAGGGCTCTTGATTCCAGCTGGAGTCTGCTGCAAACTGTAGTGCACATTATAATGGAAAGAGTAATGGAGTGAGATGAAGGAATGGAAGGAGGAGTACTGAAAACTACTCCAGAGAGTAGTACCATCAGTAGTACCTGGTTACTTGACTGTGGTCAATCTCTTGTTGCCCAAGTCACTCTKGTTGGGTCCTGGGAGCAATGGGACAACATGGAAAATTTTTTGCCTCTGGGTATAGGCGCAAGATGAGCCTAATCTCTAATCCTACCTGTTTCTCTCAGCTGGAGTAACTGCAATAATTAAGATAACACCAGGTGCTAACCATATTGATTTTCTGGTTTTACAGCTGTCTGGTTGGTTCTGTTTATCATTCCTGCTGTGTTTGTGTGACTCATCAAGCAGACAATACAGTAAGTGGGACAGAACAAGGGAAATGTGAAATCCAAACAAAAATGCCTAGTGGTGGCAGAGTTATCAATTGGATGACTCTCARCCCTCTCCCTGGGTTAGATTTCTGAACATCTCCTTTTGGTATTAAATGTAACCCTGGACTTTGAGGTTGTCTGGTTCAACTGTTGAATACTGGCACAAGGAAAGGAGGAAGCAGAGCTTTTGAAATAAAAAAAAAACCTCAGAACAATTTCCCCAGAGAGGCTGTGGACTCCTCAGCCCTGGAAGTGTTCGAGGCCAGGCTGGATGGGGCTCTGAGCAATCTGGTGTAGTGCAAGGTGTCCCTGCCCATGGCAGGGGGAATGAGTTTGTCTTTAAGGTTCCTTCCAACCCAAACCATTCTGTGATTCTATGACTCTAAAAAGCAGTCTTTGTCCCAGCCATTGTAGAACTGAGAATGGCAGTTCAAATAATGGATGGAAGACTAATTCTGTGGGAAAAGTAAGGTTATTTATGCAAATATGTTGTTTCAGATTATTCAGTCTTTTTCTCTCTGGCCAAACTGTGGGAAGTCTGGGGGACCATCTGCAACCACAACCACGTATTCTGTTTCCTTCATCCCCCTGATTTCAGAGCTGCGTAATGACAACTTTTTACTTCAGATTTATTTTAGTCTGGCCTCCTCCCTGTTTCTGTCACTACACTGAGATGCACCAAGGCTGTTGCTGTTTACAGGCTCCCCACCCTAGTTAAACCAAGCTGTCCCTATCTGACATTTGGGAATTCTCTTCTTCTCTGTCTTTGCTATTCCTCATCCTGGTTTCTTCATGTTCCTTACTAATTACTGATGCTTCTTAGCTGAATGGGGATTTTTCTTGAAAAGTGGGAATAGATAACCTCATGTAAGCACATCAGAAGTGGATTTTTGTCAATTCATGACTGGATAAAGCCATATAAAGTATAAACAATGCTTTGAAACATGCTTTAGTGAAGACAATCAACCATGGTGAGGCAGAAATCATTATGCAGATTGCATCCTACCACTGTAGGATTTCTGAAAATATGTTAGGTGAAAAAGTGTCAAGAATGATCTACATTTTACTGGCTCTRTGATGGAACAAGTGGTGAAATAGCCAGTATCAGATGAAATAGTAACTGACAAGTGAAAGAATAACTGAGATCCTAAATAGTGTCATCTGCAAAAAATTCCCCTGTGGTATCTCATAGTAAATATAGAAGAATCCATAGAAAACCTGCTATTTCCCACATGTAGTAAAGTCTTTTTCCCCTTGTAGGGAAGGCTTCTGAGGGAATTGTGGTGTTTAGATGCAGACTCGTGAAGTTAATGAATTGCCACAGAAGAAACCCGATTGTAGCAGCAACTCCAAGACCTGCAGTGGCAAACAAGGAGGAAGCCTGGACACTCAAATCCAACATGTGAAAGAGGCAGAAGATGTCATGGCTTAATTCTCATGGGGACAGCGTGACTTTCCACCCACAGAATGCTGGTAGGAGGAGTGCACCCCATCACTGACAGATGGGGAAAGAGTCCTGCCTGAAACTGCTTCCCAAACCCACTTCTCCTCCTACCATGCAGCAGATGCATTGCCAATGTAACTGCAGCCCCTCCCAAACGACCAGGAGTGCATATGGACCACTCACCCAGCCACAATAAAAAGTGCCACCGTCATTTCAGCCCACACACCACCTCCCCCACAAACAGAACTGCTTTGCTGGACGCCTGATGTCCCCCTGCTCCTTCCCCACACAGGTGGGTCAAGCTCAGGCACACTTTTTGCCTTCTCAAATTGTTCCCCTTGGAAATTAAGCCCAATTACTCCCTGCACATAAGCTGAAAATCTGACTCATCTCCCTAATGGTTCACTATTTATGTGCATTCATCATCAACTCCCTCTTCCCAGTCATTCTGGATTAGTCCTTTCCACAACAGATCCTACATCATTCCTCCAGCTCAGACAAGGATGCTGGAGATTGTGGCAGCTGATTAATTTGACAGCTCCTTTCRTAGCTGCAGAGCATGAGAGAGCCCAGTGCAAAGGCATCTGAGGACAGGCTCAAGAACATACAATACTTGACATGTTCTTATATTACTGGGAATTTGTGAGGTCTGGATATTTTTCTGCCTTTTTTTAGCCATGCTCAGCCTGGTAAAATGAGTTCCACCAGGCTGAATACAAGTATCTGTGTCTGAGGCAGGCAGTGGGGAGGAACAAGCCCCTTTAGAGAGCAGTTAATCTTACCCTATTGCTAATAATATATAATAATGAACATATATATATATATTATATGTAATAAATATACTATTATTCTGTACTATATGTATGTGCACATGTGTTTATTTATACACACACAGATATATTGCTCTATATATATTTCTACAGATCAAATGACTCAGTGTTATGACCTGAGTCTTGTTTTTCCTCTTTTTCCACAGTASTACACCTGCTAAAACAATTTTTCTCCAGCTGTTAAAGAAACGGGACACGATGTGTTAAGCTGGAGGATCTGCATCTGTATTTGCARGAGCTGGCTTATGCATTCCCAAACTCTGTGGTCAATAGATTATCATCAGTTTATCAGTTCTGCCTTCCTCACCTGTGCTCTCTGATAATCACAATCTGTCTGATACTCTTAAACTGCTGTTGTCTGAAGACTTCTCATGCTTGGAACTGGAAGACACTTAGCAGCAAAACCTTCTACTCATTTCTTTTAGTCCTCAAAAAAAAAAAAAGAAAAAGTAATCTTTTTACATATCTAAGATACAGATTTTACCTAGACACTTGCAGAAACACCAAGTGTTTGTGGGTAGCCATAGTAATTAAATTCCACCTGCATACAAACCAGCACGGAATGGACTGAGATAAATCACTGCCCCTGGCATTTTCTCTCTGAGAGATGGTGGTGGTACAACCTGTTTATTTCCACCTCAGAAATCAYTGGTTCAGCCTTCTTGAGCTTGTAGGTTTTTCTACCATATTTATATCACACAGTTTAATTTGCTTTGGGGTTTGAATCTTGTGTGAAGCTAGTGGGGAAAAATGTAACTTCACAAGAGAAGAAAAACAAAAGGATGACAATTTGCATTCCCAAGGTACAGTACTGCTGTTGAATGATGTTGGCATTTTCTGGACTTCTTYRGCATCTGATTGTAAAACMCYTSAAACCCACTGGCACAGCAGAACCATCCRTCCAGCATTTGAGACAGATCAGGCTGATCTTGAGTGAATTTTCTGTCATAGTTCTGATCAATAAATGAATCTRCCWCCTTGGAAGGTTCSTTAKATKATGAAGCATTTTGAGGCTCTGGGTTTACAACCAATCACAAATTAGCAGTGWCTTGAAAATAMKGTCAAKTACAATCAGACTTTTTTWGCTTAGATGTTCTGGATTCTCAGAAGCAGCTMSTGTTTGGCCTTTGMGTATTCCTYAGAATGGATCTGATGTTTAMACCAAAATAAATAAWCATCTGTACAATTTTACTGAGCCACRCTSAAATGAAGTGCCATCCACCAGGGAAGGATACATGTGAAAGTGCAAAAAGACACATTTGGGGTTTTGTTGTTTTGTTTTTCCAATATCTGCACCCAGCTGAGAGTGCACCTGTGCAAGGCCTGGGCTGACGGCATTTCCAGGGAATGCTGAGGGAGACACTGCCAATGGCTTTGGTGGAGTTCAGGTGGGCACTTCCACAGCTTTCCCCTCACACACTGGGAAGGTCAGCAGGCCATCGAAGGAGATCAGGATGGTCAGGCAGCACCTGCCTTTCCTAAAGCCCTGCTGGCTGGGGCTGGTGCCTTGGTTATCCTGCATGTGCCAGGTGATCCCACTCAGGACAATCTGCTCTGAATCCTTCTGGGAAGCGAGGTCAGCTGGACACCCCTGTAACTCCCCAGATCCTCCTTCCAGCCCTTGTTGGGGATGGGAGTCACAAAGGCCAAACTCCAGGAACCTCCCCCATTCCCCAGCACTGGTCAGAGTTAATGGAAAGCAGCAACCGTGATAAATGAAACAGGGCAGAATCCAGACTGATTCTTTGCCCAATGGGGCTTACCATGAAATTCATTTGCTGTGGAGAGCAGGGCATTTCTGGGTACTGCCAGGGGTAAAGTTCCTCAGGGCAGCCCAGGAGCTGAATCAGGAGGTGGAACTCATGGTAGTGGTCAAGCAGCCCATGGTTCCTCAGTGTGGGGCATGGGATGAGCAGTGGTGAGGATGAGTGTGGTCTCAATGCCCAGCAGCTGTGAATTGGTGGGTGAGTGAGGCAGAGGGAGCACCCTGAGGCACAGCAGAGGTGTCAGCAGAGGTGCCTCTGCCTGAAATCGCACTGGTGCTTTCAGCACTTCAGGGAGCTGTGTCACCATTTGATCCCAGGACCAAAAATGCATCCGGGAAGAGGACCTGGGATCACAGGCGCTGTCCAGCAAAGGGGGTGAGAGTGATGTCCCTCCTTTGTTACCCCAAAAAGCCAAATCTTCTGCAAGGTGTGTGTGCAGCCCAGCTGGCACCAGGGAGTGCTCTTGCTGCTCTGCCCATGGCAGCTGCAGACAAAGGAGCAGAATGCCCCGGTGCTGGTGGGCACTGCCCCGTGTCTGCGCTGGGATCGGTGTCCCTGTGCTCAGGTGTGCAGAGCCCCTGCAGTGCCCCTGGGGAATGGGCCTGGCCTCTGGCTGCTGGCCCAGGTGGGGGTGGCTGTTGCCCAGGATCCTGCAGCACATCAGCCAGCCCCACTGGGGCTCTCCATACCTCAGGGCAGCTGCAGTGGCCCAGGGTGCATCTCTTTATGCAGCTGAGGCAGGCCTGGAGCTCTGCTGGCTGCAGTCAGAGCTGGGACACCAACAAACCTGGAGACCCCTGCGTGGGGCTGCCTCAATGTGCACCTCACCAAACCCAATGTTTCTGAGCAGCCCCCAAAGGGCTTTGTCCTGGGTGAGCAATGGGACCCAGTCAGACAATGAACAACAGCTCCTGAGCTGAGAAGTCTCTGATTAATCTGACCCCTCTGGAAGTGACGCAGCTTGTATGAGCTGTTGGCACCCTGGTCAATTTTGGTCATGCACATTCAGATGAGAAATAACTGGAGTCTGATGCTGACACTTGTGTTGGTGTTACAGCATCCTCTGATGGCATTTGGACACCCGACCTATTGCAAGGATGCTCTGGGCTCTGTGGCATTGCTGCTGGGGGAAATTTCAGCAAGAAACAACTTGTGGTTCATATATGAGGTGACAGTGCAAACCATCACTGCAGCAAATAACTTTTATTGTGAGCTCTTTGGAAAGAAATGATGTTGCACACATTGATCTTTTACAACCATTGAATACATTTTCCCAAATCAGTTTCCCATAATTTTGCAGGAAAGCCTCAGAAGCAGAGCAGAGAAGGAAGGAATCCAAACAGTGTAGCACAGAAATTTAGCTTTGGCTGCTCAAAGCTTTCTGTATCTGATAACTGATCCTGCTTGTCTGATACCTCAGCTACTGCTCTCAAGGTACAGTTTCAACAGCAAGCAAACAAAACCTTATCCCAAGATCACAGAATTACTGAATTGTTTGGGTTTGTTGGGGCATCTCAAAATCTTCTAGTCCAGACCCCTGCTCAAGCAGGATCAACTAGAGCAGGTTGTCCAGGATCCTGTCCTTGTACCTGGATTGCTGTGTCCAGCTCTGGGGCCCACAACACGAGAAGGACACAAACCTATTGGAGTGGAATCCAGAGGAGGCCACAAAGATGTTCCAAGCTCTGGAACACCTCTGCTCTGGAGACAGGCTGAGACAGTTAAGGGTGTTCAGCCTTGACAAGAAAAGGGTCTGCAGAGAAGTTGGATCACCTTGCACTAGAAGTTACCTATAAGTTCAACAAGGGATCTAGAGAGGGATTTTGGACAATGCCATGGAGTGACAGGACAAGAGGTGGTGGTTTCACACTGACACAGGGCAGGGTTAGAACAGATGTTAGGGAGAATTCTGTACTGAGAGGATGGTAAGGCCATGGCACAGGATGCCCAGAGAAGCTGTGGCTACTCCTGGATCCCTGGAAGTGTCCAAGGCCAGGCTGGATGGGGCTTGGAGCAACCTGGGATAGTGGAAGGTGTCCCTGTACCGGGAAGGGGATGGAATGAAATGAAATTTACGGTCCCATCAAACACAACTAATTCTGTGATTCTGTGATTCTATGGCATGGAAAAAGACACTGAGCCTTTTCCATTGAGGAGATGAAATTTGTTAACAGGCACAATCCCTGTAGAACAGGGAAACGTTTCCCCTCCCATAGAGCTGGGACAATTCATCCTCCAGCTCCTTCAGTGTGAGGAGCTGGACATGGTTTTCCTCAGTAATGAAAGCCCAAGCCTTTGTGGTGGTGCTGGTCTGACAGCAGGCAGCCAACCAGATGTGGCTGGGCACATTAACCCTCCCACTAGCGATGGAGCTGTTCCCAGGCACAGCACCCGTGATGACATAGGTGGTTGTACAGTCCTGGGTTTCCTGGGCCATCATTTGGTTCTCATACTCTTTCCAGACACCATTGTGGAGTGTGCTGTCCATGGGCACAGCATTGGTCAGGGTGAAGGTAGCTGACTTGCTGTCGTCAGTATTTTGGTGGCCACTGGGACACAAATGGCCAGGGACCAGTTCATCCAGGTTGGTGTAGTCTTCGCTGATAGCCTGGTTCTGGCCTATTTGCTGTGGACCGATGGTGTAATTATGTTCAAGGAAGTCCTCTGTTTTCATATTATTAGGAAGAGTGATCAGCTTGACAGGGAAAGAAGAGGAAAATGTGTCAGTACTAAGGATTCGGGTAATGAAGCAAATTAGTCCGGAGCAGAAATCTCTGGGTGTCAAGATCCCATTTTTTGTCATCTCAGTGCATGAAAATGTATGAACCTAAGAGAAATCATAAATGTGCCCTCCCCCCCGCATGAACACAAGAGCTTTAAAGAGAAAGSAGCTCAGAATCTGACTGCTCTCATTCTGACTTGTCACCTTTGGGATCCAGCCTGTAGCCTGTGCTGGACAGTGGCTGGGTGCATGAGACAAGGAGCATTTTCCACTCCTAGGTTTGAAAGGTGACTTGGCTGAGACATCTTCCCTGCCACATCTGCTTCCCTTTCCTCCTGTCTCCATTGTCTGAATGTGCCCAGGGCTCTCCCTGAATCCCTTCAACCCCATGCTGTGATTCTGCCATTCTGAGATTCTGTAATTTTATCTGTGGTTGCTACAGGTGTACCCCACTCTTGGAACACCTGAGGTTGCCTCCTCTAACCCCATCCACAGGGAGGTGTGTCAGGAAATCAGTCCTGGAGCTGATGTTTCCTTTCCCTGGGAGGGCTACAGTTTGTTCAAGGATGAATATTTAGCTCAATAAGCAAAAAAAGAAAATCTCCATGTCAATGAAATCTGCTACTGCAGTGCTATAAATGTGTCTCAGAGCTGATCTGGGCCAGGGAGCATTTTCTTAAGAATCATTATATCATTGGAAAGAAGGTAGAAATTATCAGCTCTGAGAGGAGCATGTAATTCCAAAAGAGTCCTGATAACAGTAAATATTCCAAAAAGGCCTCTGAAGAAAGTTACCAAAATCAAGGATTTTTTTTGTGTGGTCTGGGTCTATTGTCTGGGAGGAAAAGGCCAGGTTGGATGGGGCTTGGAGCATCCTGGTCTAGTGGCAGGTGGCCTGGCCCATGCAGGGGAGTTGGATTGAGATGATCTTTAATGTTCCTCCCAACATAAACCATTATGATTCTATGATTGTAGGAAAAGAGAGTTTTATCTCTCTCTTATGTGGAGGCTGCAGTGGTGCAAGAGCAGATGCTTTGCTCAAATTCCTAAGTATAATAAGCTGAAATGAATATTTTTTTCGTAATTTCAACATCTTTTATTTCATCTTAAGGGAACCATATTTAGCCTTCCTCTAGAATAGGGGATATGGTTTCCTTCTGTGGCTCACCTGCCCCTCAGTTCCCTCCTGCTACTCTGTCCTTAGAAGGAAAGTAATTTCCTTTTTCTCTTCTGCACTTGGCCTGGCCTGTTCTGCTGAAGTTTATCTCAAGGATGTTTGGGAGAGCTCTGTAGTTTGTGCAGATCTGGGTGTCTGCTGGATCCTTCTGCACCAAGCCGGAGCAAAAGGTGCTCAGGGGCCACTGCCCGTGCATGGAGATCACACCCTTCTGACTGGAGTGACACTGATGCTCCTCACTTTGCACTGCCTGAAATGTCACTCCAGAAATCCCCCCAGTGCTAACCTGACCCTCTCATCTCCAGTGCTGGTGCCTGCTGAGGCTTTGTCCCTGTGCCATCCCACCCCATTCTGAGTTTCTGCTCACATCTCACATGGCACTCACAAAGCCTATTTGACTTTTCACTGGGAGCAGATAAGCTCTGTCAGGGATGGAGAACAGCTCAGAGCAAAGTGGGGATCAGAGCCCAGCAGGATTGGATTCCCCATCACCTGGCCTCCCACCACAGCAGGGCACAGGGAGGGGGAACTGTTTGCCTTTGTAATGTCAGGTGAAGTAATTTGATTTGATATTTCTGTCAGGTCATGGAAGGAAACTGGGCACGTTTGGGACATGAGCCATCTCACCCTCCTGCTCATGTTTCAGATGCATCAGAGGAATCATGTGATGCAGGTGTTTGAAGTTAAATGAAAACAATCAAATCCAGTGTTTCCATTTGCATGTTTGTAGGGGGGTGGGAGGAAATAGAAGTGGTTATTTAAATGCTGCTGCCATTCTTTGAGTGGCCGGAGGATGATGTGCTGTAAGAGAGGCACTCACCTGGGGCTCAACAAACCATAATTCATTTGAAGGCAGAGGTCCAGGCTGGTAGATGTAAGCAGAGTACACAGGAATTCTCATGGATTTGTCATACAGGGTGGCAAAGTGATATTGGTTGTTGTAGCGTTGACAGATCCAGGCTGCGTTCTGTGGAGTCAAGGCTTCATTTGGGGGGGTCTTCCCATAGAAAAACTGAGGACACTTCTCAAAGGATGTCACCACCTCACTGTGTCCCAGCCAGAGGCAGCTCGCCGACACCTGCAGCAGCAGCAGCCACAGCATCGTGGGAGGATTTCAGGTGAATGGCTCTTGTTCCCTGGAAGACAAATGCAGAGGGACACTGAGCCTGGAGAGAGCTGGTCATGGTCTGGAACATTTTTTGTGGCAGGGGAGACACAGCTGGCAGAGGAGGGGACTGTGAGAGATCAGGAAAGGAGTAACTTCTCCTGGATAAGGAAAAATGACGAGGACACGAAGGGGGAAAGATAACACAGGGTTAAGGTTCCCAGAGGAGTCAGCAGTGGGGGAAATCAACCTGTATGAGGAAGGAAGCAAATCTACTCCATTCCTAATCAATTGTCACAGCAAGGTTATCTTGGAACTGAGGAACAACCTTGGGACAAGGTCACCTTTTCCCACCTCCTTCCTGCTCTGAGCACCTTCCCACAGCAGGCACCTGCAGCTGGGCATGGATCCTGCTCAGCCCCTGCAAAGCTGAACTGGGCTTTACTCTCATGGGGCACTGGGCAGGGAAAGAACAGCGATGCTGCACTTCCTGAGTGTTTCTGGCCCCAACTGCATTCACCCAGACACGCAGCGCTTCCACTGAGACCAACACTGAACCCCAAATGGTCACTTGGGGCCCTGCCTCTCAGCTGACACAGGGCAATGGATGTCCTGCTGCTCAGCCTGCATTTCCACATCACCCAACCCCAGACTCTGAACTTGCACAGACGTGGAGAGAGAAAATGAAGGGGCCAAGCAGATGGTAGCAGCAGGCACGGGGGATCACAGCTCCATCTTCTCAGCCCAATGGCTGCTGCCATGCAAGCACTGAGGGGCAGCTCTTCCCATGGTTGCATGGCATTCCTGATGATCCCCCTCTTCAGCTTTGCTGATTCTTTATCCTGTACAGTCAAAGGCACTGTTGCAGGAATTTCTGTTTGTTGGACAGCAATGTGTCCTATCTTGTGTTTCTCAGTGCTGACATGATTTTCAGCAGTTGGCATTCTGCATTCCTTTTACAAAACAGTTCCCTGTGATGCTGGCAGCCCAGCAAGGGGCTTTGTCTCCTTTCAGAGGCACCACATGCTTTGGGATAGCAGTGATGCTTCAATTTGCATTGCTGAACACTCGATGTAGTGACTTAACATCATGAGCATTGGGAATAAGGCAGGCAGGACAGGAAAATAAAAGGATTCATGGGACAGAAGCTGCCACAGCCTCTAAAGCACAAAGGCCACCTTTGGCTGGGAAGGGTCTGAGCTAAGGATTGCTGAAGGCTTCCCAAGTCATCTGGCACATTTGCTCTTTTCTATTCTCCCTGACACTCACCTCTGCATTTCCACTGGATTCAGGATATTGAGTTACACACAGCCCTGCTCTGACCCTAGAGATCTGGTCCTTTTTCTCTTTACCAGTCCTGGAGCAGGAATGTGGGGACCAATGAGCTGGAAACTGAGAACTGGAACCACAACTGGTGACTTTTTACCGCTCTCTGAAAAGTGCAGTCATATATATATCCCAAATCAAGCAGAGAAGTTCTAGAAAAATTCTTTTGCAGGATCCCATCCACAAAATTAAAATGCATATAATTATTTTAACTTCTTAGTTAATATCAGATAAAGAGAAACCAACCTACCGTGAGAAAGAGCGGCACAGGATTCTGCTCCGAAGTGGCAGAGAACTCTCAAACACGTCCCTTGCAGTCTGATACTGGGTGCTTTTATATCATCTCCAACAAGGAAGAATGTAAGATTTCCCAAACAGCGTTTACTGTGACCTTCTCCAGGAGTTCAAGTAGTAGTTGTATTTTTCCAAAGGATTCTAGCAATGATTTAGGTGGGGTTTTTGCATTCCCGCTGTATATTCCATTTTTGATAACTCTCCCTTCTTATTCAATTATTTGATGTCAAATATCCATTTGACTTGGTTTGAGTTTCTTTCCCAGGAAAGCAATTGAGGAAGTGCGGGGAAATTCATTACCCGTTGTTATTGCAGCACTGGAGAAAAAGGGATTTTGAAGTGACTAAACTGTTTTCTTTCCTCTGTTGGGATTCCTGAGTGTTTCAGAAGCTTGGTATGGAGGGCGGGACATTTCTGCCAGGGGTAAGGGTCCTTGAGACAAGCCAGTAGCTGATCCTGGAAGTGGGAATCATGAGGGTGGTCAAGCAGCACATGGTTCCAGAGTGTGGAAAGAGGGAGCAGTGGGGCATGGGATGAGCAGTGGAGAGGATGAGTGTGGTCTCAATGCACAGCAGGTGTGAATTGGTGGGTGAGTGAGTCAGAGGGAGCACCCTGAGGCACAGCAGAGGTGTCAGCAGAGGTGCCTCTGCCTAAAATTGCAATGATGCTTTCAGCACTTCAGGGGGCTGTGTCACCATTTGATCCCAGGACCAAAACTCGATCCAGGCAGAGGACCTGGGATCACAGGTGCTGTCCAGAAAAATGGGGTGAGAGTGATGTCCCTCCTTTGTTACCCCAAAAAACCCAAATCTTCTGCAAGGTGTGTGTGCAGCCCAGCTGGCACCAGGGAGTGCTCTTGCTGCTGTGCCCATGGCAGCTGCAGACAAAGGAGCAGAATGCCCCGGTGCTGGTGGGCACTGCCCCGTGTCTGCGCTGGGATCGGTGTCCCTGTGCTCAGGTGTGCAGAGCCCCTGCAGTGCCCCTGGGGAATGGGCCTGGCCTCTGGCTGCTGGCCCAGGTGGGGGTGGCTGTTGCCCAGGATCCTGCAGCACATCAGCCAGCCCCACTGGGGCTCTCCATACCTCAGGGCAGCTGCAGTGGCCCAGGGTGCATCTCTTTATGCAGATGAGGCAGGTCTGGAGCTCTGCTGGCTGCGGTCAGAGCTGGGACACCAGAGAAGCTGGAGACCCCTGCATGGGGCTGCCTCACTGTGCACCTCCACCCCACACCACTTAAGGAACTCTGGAGCTTGTTGCTCCACACACTGATGATGAGGGAGATGAGTTTTCAGATGAGCGCTTGAGAACCATGACAGGTGCACAGCAGAGCTTATACCAGAACCCAAAGGCATTTTGAAAGGTTGTGGATCAAGCAATGCATTTAGTGCTCTTGGAAGGCCAGATCTCTTACTCTGAGCTCAGCACAGTGCTGGTAGCACTTCTGGTAGCCCAGCTCACTCATGTGCAGCAAGTTGCTGTCTCTGGATGCTGCTGTGTTCAGCTGTGGACATTCTCCAGGGCCTGACCAGCCACTGCCCTGTCTGTCTAAGTGCAAAGCTGCTCACACATAAGCTACAGTTTGCACATGTTAGAGAAGTCATGTTTGCATTAAATGGAAGCCCTTAAAGATTCTGTGGTGTGTATGTCAGCTCTTTGGGTACTTGTTTCAAATCTGCCTGCAGTGAAATCTGCCAGCTGAACAGATAATACACAAAATATACTATGCAACATATTAATGCAGGAAGCCACAACCTCTCCAACATCTACATTTAATAGCCTCACAGTTTGCACTCAGTGTTCCCTCTCCTTCTGAGATGAAGAGCGAGTGCTAGTTCAAACTTGTATTTACTATGCCCCTAAGAGAGAGTTTGCCTTAAGAGTAAAATTTAGATCTTACTTTTTTTCTCTTTTTTTCATTGTGAAATTTGAAATCCTTATATATGATGTGTACAGAGGAGGAGATAATGTGTCAGTTGACACCAGATGAGTAAGAAATCATCCATGGAGCTCGGAATTAACACTTAAATTTTTTTGGAAAGCTGTATCGTAGACGCCCTTTTTTTTTCTAGTGAATGAATGGTAGGACACAGAGACAGAGCCTGCAAGTCTGTGTGCTTTTTGTGCTCCTCTCCCTCTCCCTCTCCCTCTCCCTCTCCCTCTCCCTCTCCTCTCCTCTCTTGGACAAGCTGCTTTGCATTTTCCTGCATCCTGCTACTCCTGCCAGAGATCTGTGTGTTTCACTTGCTGTTGGTAAAGCACTTCAAAATCTTGAGTTGCTATTGTCATGGACTTCTCTAAGCTTACTTAAAATCCCTTTCCTCCTCACTCATGCCTTTCCAATGACAAGAAAAAGAATTAATTTATTTTTATTTCGTACCAGGTATAACTGGCATTCTACAGCTGCTCAAGGCAGGATTTAACTGCTCCTTTCTGTTGTCCAAGCATCCACTGAGCAGCTCCAAATCACAAGTCCTGTTGGGTATATTGTGTCTCTAATTCTCTCAGGGATGTGGTCTGCCAAGAGGTGTTTCCTTCTTCATTGTAATCAGCCGTCTGGAGTTTCCAAACCTCCTGGTGTATCAGACCTTCACAGGCTGATCTTGCAGAAAAACCATCCAGAGCCTGGAGCATCGTGGGTGGGTGGCTGACCTGGGTGATGCTGGAAGCTCAGTTTGTATCCCCTAAAAGCACTGCCAGGGTATCCATGTTCTCTGCAGCATCCCTGGATGTGTGGACAGTGCTTGGGCAGCAGCATTCCTGAACACCTCACCTCCTGAACACCTCCTCACCTCCTGACCCTCAGAGGTGCAGGACTGATATTTCTGTGCCAAAGTGGATTGCTCAGCAGCAAGGGACAGCTTGCCAAAGTACAGCAAGTGAGAACCTCAGTGTAGGGAGTGTAACCTCACAGGAACCCACCCAGATACACAACAGATAAGTTGTTCTTCAGAGATCAAAGGAGGTGACACCTCATAATGTAACCTTAGAAAACTTGCCCAACAGCAATGTTTGGCTCCCAGATGGACCAAAGGAACTTTGCCCAGGTGCTCTCTCGAGCAGAGGCTAAAAGATGCTAATGTCTTGATTTCATTATTTCCTTCTCTTTAGGGCCAATACATGACAACATATTCAGTTCACGGAATCTGAACCCTTGGTATTACTGGAAGAAGAATAAGCAAGCTGCAGGATCAATACTCAGCAGTGAAGTGAGTTCACCTCTCAGCCTCTGCTCAGAGATGCTGACAAAAACTACTTTTTCTTAGTGTCTAAACTGACAGTGACACACTGGTGGCCAGAGTATGAAGCATTTTGAAGCTTTCACATTACAATCAGTCACAAATTAGCAGTTCCTTGAAAATAATGTCAAGTACAATCTGACTTTTTTTGCTGAGGTAGTTGTTATTTTCAAAGGAAACATAAACATGACCTGGACTCTCAGAAGCAGCTCCCGTTCGGCCTTTGAGTATTCCTTAGAATGGATCTGATGTTTACACAGATAGAAATAATCAACTGCACAATTTTACTGAGCCACTTTCAAATGAAGTGCCATCCACCAGGAAAGGATACATTTGAAAGTGCAAAAACACTTCATATGTTTGGGTTTGGTTGGGGTTTTTTTCCAATATTTGCACAGTTACTGTGTGAAAGCTGAGTTTGTAAATACCATTGGAGCATAACCCAGATGATAACCAAGAGCAACAGTAAATACAAGAAAAATAAGGAAACTCTCTGGCTGAGTAGTAAGTCTGAATAAGTTTGGTTGCTCTTGTGCACATGGAGTATAACTTCGTGGGATCCCATCCAGGAACACAATACATAAGTAGTTCCTCAGAAATTTAAGCAGRTTTAATCTTCTAAAACTTTCATARCAGGAAAGTGTGGSCTTTGTATYCAGAGGTAAGCTGGTTAAGCAGACATCTAATATTAACTTAATGTCAGYCTGACTTTGGATATAGAAAYAAGAAATAGACATTTGGGTTTAGATGAACTTAACTTTCCTCACTTCTAATAGCTCCCAGCAAGATAAAGTGCTTAGATTAATGAAAGTAGGAATTTTCCTTTTTTCTAGATTGCCATTTAGCTGAAGACAGGAAACTYCCAGCAGGACCTCCTGTGAGACTCAAGAAGGACCCTCATGTCTTTGATCATCATTTCCCAGGAAAAAGCCTGTYCCTGCAGGGTGAGATGAAGAGATGGGCATTTTACCTGGACAAACATCTGGAGATGGGCCTGGCAGTGCCACAAACACAATGTGTTTCGTGCAGAACCACACACGGTGCATTTGCTGCCTACACGAGAGAGATCCAGTAGCTCCCATATGTCCAAACCAGCAGTCAAAGATGGCATCTCCTTTGCCCAGGGAATGGCAAAGCCCAGCAATCAGTTCCCTGGCTATCTTCCTAGTGGGCAGCCAAAGTTACTCCTGCATTGACCAAAGCAGTTTTGCCCAGCGGAGGCCAAATAATGCCAATGCCTTGATTTTGTTGCTTCCTTGTGTTCCAGAACAGCACATGACAATGTGTTTATTTGATGGACTCTGAATCCTTGGTGTTATTGGAAAAAGACTGAGCAAGGTGCAAGGTCCAACCCACTTTGCAGTGAAGTGAGTTTAGCTCCCCGCATCTCCTCACAGATCCCAGCAAAAATCACTTTTCCTTAGTGTCTAAACTGCCAGTGACACACTGGTGCCCCGAAACTCTCCTCAAAGATGGWCAGACACAGAGCAAACTCAAAGTTACCGTCCTGTGTCAGTGCAGCTGCATCTCCCCAGGGGACAGAGGTGCTTCCCACCCCAGCGTGGGCATGGAGCAGCTCTGGGCTCAGCAAAGGGCTGTATCCCTACTGCCCATGGCCAGCAGGCTCAGCAGGAAACTGAGGCAATCACCGATGGAAGGTGCCTGGCAGGATGCTTGTGGRGCTGGGGCAGCCCTCTGCTCATTTCCAAGCTGGGCTGCTGGGAGAAGCACAGAAACATTTCTGCTGGAAATGGCCTCTGAGATCCAATCTTTGGCTGATCGCCAGCTGGTCAACTGGACCGTGTCACTGAGTGTCACATCCAGTCTTCAGTACCTCCAGAGATGGAGACTGTGCCACCTCCACAGGCAGTCCATTCCAGTGTTGAATCATTTCACCCTTTTTGTGAAGAAATTCCTCCTGATGTTCCTCAGAACCTCCCCTGGTGCAGGTTGAGGYCTTGTCCTGTCATCCTCTGACTGGGTGCTTGGGAGAAATTGCCAAACCCCTCCTGGCTACATCCCCTTTTTCAGCGAGTTGTACAAGGGAAATAATCACTCAGAGTCTCTTTTTCTCTGGGCTAAAGAACCCCAGCTGCCTCAGCTGCTCCTCACAGGCTTTACCCTCCATGGCCYTCACCAGCTTTGTGGCCTTTCCCTGGGCCGGCTGCAGAGGTGGCCTGGGCCCATTGATCCAGCCTGTCCAGATCCCCCTGCAGAGCCTTCCTACCCTCCAGCAGGTCAAGTGTCCCATCAAACTTGGTGTCATCTGTGATCTTACTGAGGGTTCACTCAATCCCCTCATCAGTGAAGGCATTAAACGGGCCTAGGCCCAGCACTGCTCCCTGAGGGAACACCTCCTGTGGTCAGATACCAGCTGAACATGGCACCGCTCACCAACACCCTCTGGGCCTGGGCATCCAGACAGTTCCTAACCCAGCTGAGAGTGCACCTGYGCAAGGCCTGGGCTGACGGCATTTCCAGGGAATGCTGAGGGAGACACTGCCAATGGCTTTGGTGGAGTTCAGGTAGGCACTTCCACAGCTTTCCCCTCACACACTGGGCCGGTCAGCAGGCCATCGAAGCAGATCAGGATGGTCAGGCAGCACCTGCCTTTCCTAAAGCCCTGCTGGCTGGGGCTGGTGCCTTGGTTATCCTGCATGTGCCAGGTGATCACACTCAGGACAATCTGCTCTGGAACCCTTCTGGGGAGCGAGGTCAGCTGGACACCCCTGTAACTCCCCAGATCCTCCTTCCAGCCCTTGCTGGGGATGGGAGTCACAAAGGCCAAACTCCAGGAACCTCCCCCGTTCCCCAGCACTGGTCAGAGCTGATGGAAAGCAGCAACCGTGATAAATGAAACAGGGTAGAATCCAGACTGATTGGATGTGGCTATGCCATGAAATTCCCTATGTGGCTTACCATGAAATTCACTTGCTGTGGAGAGCAGGGCATTTCTGGGTACTGCCAGGGGTAAAGGTCCTCAGGACAACCCAGGAGCTGAATAAGGAGGTGGGAGTCATGGTGGTGGTCAAGCGGCCCATGGTTCCTCAGTGTGGGGCATGGGATGAGCAGTGGTGAGGATGAGTGTGGTCTCAATGCCCAGCAGGTGTGAATTGGTGGGTGAGTGAGGCAGAGGGAGCACCCTGAGGCACAGCAGAGGTGCCTCTGCCTGAAATTACAATGGTGCTTTCAGCACTTCAGGGAGCTGTGTCACCATTTGATCCCAGGACCAAAACTCGATCCAGGCAGAGGATCCAGGATCACAGGCACTGTCCAGCAAAGGGGTTGAGAGTGATGTCCCTCCTTTGTTACCCCAAAAAGCCAAATCCGCAAGGTGTGTGTGCAGCCCAGCTGGCACCAGGGAGTGCTCTTGCTGCT